ATCCTATTAGAGGTTATCCACGGACCTTATAGTTCGGGTAACTAATTAAAAGGCGCAAGAAACTTTAGCGTGAACCAGGAGGAAACGAGTTTAAATCTGTTTCATGCTAGTTTCCAGTGCGAGTACCTTAGTGGCTCCCTCGTGAATCGTTTCCAGCGTGACTGCACCCCCAGCACTTTATTACAAGTCTAATCTGTCTCAACGCGAAACCTTTGGCGCGGTAGATATTTAACCCTCACGCTTAATTGCAAACTTGCAACTTAAAGTATTTAAAACCACGACCCATTACGACCAACGCGAACCAAGTTATATATTTTCTTTCTTTGACATTTTTTTTATTTCAAAAAAAAAAAAATTCTATTCGTCTCTCGAATTTATCAAATTTTTATCTTTTCACTTATAGAATAATAAAAACTTCAAACGTGTTTAGTACACTGAAGAAAAAATTTATATGATTCAAATATAATCACTTAATTATTATCAAATAAATACTTTTTGTATAATTATTATATGGGTTAATTAAATTATTTAAGGAAAAAAGGAATTGGTTACAGATGCTAACTGATGTTTGCTATCAGATCTATTAAAATTAGTAACTACAGCTAAATTTTTTGACACAACAAAAAAGTTTGCTGTGATAAACAATAACAGTCTTACACTACAAAAAGAAGTATCTTATTTTAAGATGTTTTGGTAGCGTTTTTAAGACATTAAGACATTTTAAACATCTAAATGCTACCAAAACATCTTAAAATAAGATACTTCTTTTTGCAGTGTAATTTTTAAAAATTTACTGTTACAGCAAACTCTTTTGACCCCACAACAAATGTAAAAACGAATAAAGTAACTTTTACTACTTTAAAAGTAAAACCTGAACTGCCGCAGTTTCTCTCAATTTTTACTCCAGAAATAGTAAAAATTATTTCAGAAATAGTAAATTTTACTATTTCTGGAGTAAAAATTGACAGAAATGCGTAGAAACCGCGGACAGTTCCGATTTTACTTTTAAAGTATATAGTAAAAGTTTCGTTATTCGTTTTTCCATTTTTCTCCGTATGTATTTGTTTCAAATACAGAAATTATTGATTAAAAGACAATTTATTGATTTCAAATAAAAATTAATTGGTTCAAGAAAATATTTATTCGCGATAACACAGAAAATTAAAAGGCATTAAAATAAGCTGCAACGCTTATTATTTTAATCCAATTTTGCTTATTTTAATAACAAAATCGATGAAAATAAGCAAAATTGGATTAAAATAATAAGCGTTGCAGCTTATTTTAATGCCTTTTAATTTTCTGTGAACCGATTATTATTTGATTGAAATAATTTTTTTTAGACAAACTATAAATTTTATAAAAACAGGGTTTCGGTGTAATAACCCAATGGGAAAAATACCATTGGCGTATTAATGGCCCAATAATGGGAGCCAGGGATGCCAATATAATTCCAATAATGGCACCCAATAATGGACCATTATTGGTAAAGTCATGGGCTGTCCACGCCGATGCCAATGATTGGCAACCATCATTGGCAAATTATTGGCAACCAATAATTAGCCAATATTAAAAATTTTAATAATAATTTAAAAAATCAATAATTTAAAAAAAAATTTATATTTTTATTATTTTTTAATAGTTATTATTATTATTATTTTATTTTTAATAATTAAATTATAATAAAAAAATGGTCATCAAAGTATTAGTGAAACTATTTCTTCCAAAAAAGAGTTTGTCTCAAATCCAATTAATAGAAGAGACATCGGGCAGAAAAAAATTTCGACGAGAAAAAAATTTTAGATCACTGCTTATATACCAATCAAGTGGCATCTCAACTGCGAGAAACAGTGATGTTCGCCCTCCCTTTGCGGCGTTGAGTGAACTAAAGTCCAGAGCTGAGCCATCAGCGCAGCGCGGGAACATTTGAAAAATTTGATTTTATTAGATATTTTATTTTATTTTAAATATGACAAATAATTAACTTAATAAATAATTAATGTCATTAATAATTATTAATAACATAATGTCATACTTAATAATTCGTTAATTATTATACAATAAAATATCTAATAAAATCAAATTTTTTAAATGTTCCCGCGCTGCGCTGATGGCTCAGCTCTGGACTTTAGTTCACTCAACGCCGCAAAGGGAGGGCAAACATCACTGTTTCTCGCAGTTGAGATGCCACTTGATTGGTATATAAGCAGTGATCTAAAATATTTTTCTCGTCGAAATTTTTTTCTGCCCGATGTCTCTTCTATTAATTGGATTTGAGACAAACTCTTTTTTGGAAGAAATAGTTTCACTAATACTTTGATGACCATTTTTTTATTTTAATTTAATTATTAAAAATAAAATAATAATAATAATAACTATTAAAAAATAATAAAAATATAAATTTTTTTTTAAATTATTGATTTTTTAAATTATTATTAAAATTTTTAATATTGGCTAATTATTGGTTGCCAATAATTTGCCAATGATGGTTGCCAATCATTGGCATCGGCGTGGACAGCCCATGACTTTACCAATAATGGTCCATTATTGGGTGCCAATGGTTTTTTCATTGGCTCCCATCATTGGGCCATTAATACGCCAATGGTTACTCGTGGCAGTTTCCCATTGGGAAAAAAAAAATTTTGTCAATTACAATAAAATTATATATGTATTTCAAATTCATGTTTCTTTTCAAAAAGTGTGGCAATCGAAATTGAAAAAATTAATATTTAACTTTTTGCAATCTCAACTTATTCAATGTATATATTTCTGTTATATAGAACTTGAAAAATATTGAGTCATTTATAAACCGGATATAAAATACATAAAACATTTATCATTAAATCATCGGATAATAAAACATTTTGCATATGTGGGACTATATTAAAAGGCATTCACATTTTATGGGGAAGAAAATAAACTAACAAGACGGTCAGCGAAGAACTGCGGGACATGTGGTGGACGTGACCCATGCCAAGGGCTAGAGAGAGAAAAAGAGAAAGAGAGAGGGGCCCTTATTATTCATAATTGCATCTTACACCAATACGCAACGAATTGCCAGGTAATATATTACCCTAAATTATAGGCGATATCCGGCGGGACATTAAGTTCGCCACTATTGGACCATATGGGTCGACGGTTTTCGGTGGCATCATCGGGCATCGTGGCATATGGGACCTCATAAATATAGACACCTATTTATGTGATTTCTGCGGTTCGAGAGCCAAACAGCAGGTCCGAATTCTCGCCGGGACGACTATTTCTCTTCGCGCGAGATTCTCGACTTTTAAATATATACTTTAACAAATTCACAAGCAAAATTTGATAAATCATGACTCTACTTTCACTTCTCGCAAAGAAATCATATCTTTTTTGTTTTTAATAAACATTTTTCTTAAAATATCAAATTGAATTTACTTAAAAGAAGAATTGAGATAAAAAAAAAGAAAAATTTTTTTTCTAGACGAAAAAAAGTTTTTCACGATTAGGGACTTGAGTATAGGTTGACTCGCGTTTCAAGGCAATTACTGGGACAGCTAATTTCCAGGCGGACTCCATGGCCGCTAACTTCGTTAATGCATAATTCCGGGGTGGTTCCCCGGGGCGGCGTTGGCGTGATATAAAATCAGTAAGCTTTAGTAAATTTCGTTTAAACAATCCAGTAAACAATTTTCCGGCCAGTGCACGGCAAAATAATGATACCCATGTGAAAACTCTCTTCCTACCTGCAAACATCTATTCGGAGTTATATAGCGTTTATTCATAGCTCAACAAAGTATTTTCCTACCCTCGCAAGGACACTCAACGAATTCGTTTCATTTCGTTTATAAAATTAAATTAAATCAATACTTTCTCAATTAATTTTCTTATAAATCATTTTTTATTTATTCAATGTCAAGCCTAAAAAAATGATTTTCAAACTAAAAAATGAATTTCAATAAAAAATAGCAAATATTTTTTTGTAAATACGCCCGGTATTATTTTCTAATACTTTTATATATATGAAGCATATAGACATACACATTTCTCGCGATTAATTTGTACATTACATAACAAAAAAAAAAAAAATCTCTACATAAAATGCAATGAGAGACATATCGCGACTACTGAGTAAAAAAAAACTTCCATTTGCCAAAGTCCGATGATGTATCGACTTGTCATCAATGTATATACCAGTAAATATTAGTGAGACGTGGCGTTTCATAGAACACGTGTATGTATATGTATATATATATATATATATATATAAATACAATCCAACCCACGCTTTTCGATTCTGTGGGGGGTTCATATATGCCGCGCTGATGCATTTTCGTCATAAATAACATCTCGCTCGAATAAATAAATAAACCTGATCATCGTAACTCACAATTATTCCGGCGGTTTTCGCGGACCGATACCCGCGAAACCGTCACTTTTAATTTAACCCCCATGCCCGGTGTTTGGCACGTTTTGATTTCGAATTTATGGCTGTGATCACGAGCTGAGAGATATATGATTTATCGAGTCGAACGCGGATAGGTTATTGCGCGGGCGCCAGGTGCATTCACCAGAGGACGATCGATACTATATACATATATATATATATGGCGAAAATCGATCGATCAACTTTTATATATATTTACAACCATATATCCTCTTTTTTGTAAATTTTTTTTTATATATACTAGAGGGGAAAAAAATATAAATTACTCCAATTATATTAAAAATATACGATATACTTCACTTTTTAATCGCATCATTATAAAATTGTTAAACTAATTATTAAGTGCGAGTAAAAATTAAAATAACGACGTATTTTACTCCAATTTTTCGAAAACAAAGGTGTCATTTTAATTTCTACTTGTTTTATGTAACCGCAAAACGGCGTCAATTTAATTATTTACGTAAAATGACGCCGTTTTTGTTGTAAATTTATGTACAACTGGAGATGAAATTAAAATGGCGTTGTTTTTTAAAACAGAAAAATTGGAGCAAAAAATAAAATAAATCAAATTTCTTACCTTAAAATTTTAAATTCCTTTTGTGCATAGAAACTCTCGGCAAATTTTTTATAAAGTCCATTCAAAAATCGCCAACACATCTGAAATAAAAAATCAAAAGAATAAATATCAATTTAAAACAACGCTTAATTAAAAATAAAATTTATAATTTATATCATAAGGCCAGAAATATTTTAGACGTAAATAAAAATTTTATTTTTCATAAATAAAATTTCTATTTAAGTCAAATAAAATTTATTTGATACATATAAAAATTTATTTGCGCCCCTGAGACAAATTGTATCTTTTCTCTGGATGTAATATTATTTATTTTAGAAAATAAATATAATTTATAAAATTCACCTATATAATTATATTTTTTTTATACCCAATGTGAAAATAATTTACGATATTTTAATTAGAGGGAATAAATGATTTAAGCGTCATTCTTAATCCTGTCACGAAAAAGATAAAATTTCAGGAGACAAGGAGTTAATTTTTCATTTAAGGACCAAGTTCTCACTCCCAGGTGTCTACTTTGGAACACGACTCGTCCATCGACCTTTAGCGTCTTTCTCTCTCTCTCTTGACTTTTAGTCGTCGTTTTCGAATAAGGTGTGTGCGCGGATATATATAAGAGTTGAGTATAATACGAGAGAGAAAGAGAGATGAAGAGAATAGAGAGAGGAAAAACCCTTTAACGAGGAAACTTTTCTCGAAACGAGGTGCTTCCGAATTTTAGAGGGTAGCTTTAAATATTCGAAAGCGCCCACTCTCGCTATATCCGCACTAATTTAACGCCAGCTTCCCCGCACTCCATATATATATCCCTTCAGGCAAACACCATACCTAATAGTGTTCGCGGACAGTATAGAATTCGTGTCAGAGCGCGAAAAATGTACTTCCAATATATACATATATAGGGGGAAAAAAAGAAAAATAAAATAAAACAAAAAAAAAAGGATGAGACAAAAAAAGTAGTAAAAGAAATTCTCAATCAGCAAAATTGGCCCCGGGAGCAAGAGGAATAGAGAGAAAGAGAGAGAGAGAGCGATCTAACGATTTGATTTAAAATTTGAAATTCCATTCGATACTCCGGGGGTTGTGCATGCAATATAGGAAACATGTACAATCGAAACTGTCGTGAAACGAAATGGAAGAAACGGGGCATAATGAAAATTTTCAAATTTTACGCCCGATTATCTTCATATATATATATATATATATATATATATATGTATACCGGCTGCAAGTTTCTTGTGACATTTGGCGCATTAAAATCATAATGCCTTATCTCGAGAGCCCTTGCACTGTCTCGAATTCATTATAATCGCTTTCAATGATCTATCGACTCCTCCGATGAAAGAAGAATGATATTTACTTGTAATTTACATATATAACAGTACTGATGTTGTTAAATTCACACTTCTTAATTTTTACATTAAAAAGTAAAAGAAGGTACACTAAAATATATTTTTTATAATGTAATTTTAAATATAAAAAAAAATTTTCAGAAAATATTTCTTGAAACATAAAAATATTATTTCCATATGTAAAAAGTATATATTGTTCCATATTATTCTCAAAATTAATTTTTAAATTTTATTTATCAATTCTATTATATAGAAGTTTGTGATTTTTGAAAAATATATTTTTTATAATCTATAAATTTTTATCATTCTATAAATAAACTGTTAGGCCATAAATTATTATTTATATATTTCGTATAACAAGTTTTAATTGTCTGATTTCGAATCAGAGAAATCTTTAAAGGATCTTTACAGATCATTAACTTTCCCATCCCTATTGAATTTCCTCACACGTTCCGATTCTAAACGTGATAGACTTTATCTGAATTTAAGTATCGTCAGCAACACTTATAAATACGTCAACGTATATTTGATTTGAGTTTTCATGTTCAGTTATAGTATTTGTAGTAGTCAACTTTGGGGTCAGATATACATATATATATAGAGAGAGAGAGAGAGACAAAACGATGGACAGATGGTCGCTTTGGTCTCCCAACTAGAACCGCGCGGCAACGACAGGTTGCCAAGGTCCAGGGCACCACCAGCATTTCGTGGTTCATTTGCGGTACCCAGGGGTCCCATCTATTATGTGGGAGAGATGTGATTCCAACACTATCGCTATATATATATATATAATGCTAACGCGCGCGCACGCTCATCTCCCCTCAAAAAAGTTCTCAATCTTCAACACAGGGGGGGGGGTTGTTTACATTTTGCCCTTAAGGGCCGAGTCAATTTAATTTCCTGATTATTTTTTAACGAGAGGCTCTCTGTTTCATATAATTTTTCATTAATTCATCTATATATAGCAAAAGAAATTCTTATATTTCCAAAATTACAAACAGAAAATAATAAAAAAAAAAAAAAGGCAGAAAAGCAAAGAGAGCAGGACAACCGATTACAGGTCAGTAATTAAATCTAAGTAAATTAGGCCAATCAGCTGTCGAGTTGTCTGACGTCGGCTGATGCCAAGAATCAGGCCCCTGAACAGAAAGCGCGAGATAAGCGCCTTGATCCAAAAAGTTTTCCTTTTAATCTGCTTTTTTTTTGTTTTAATCTTGTTTTCTCACTTTCAATCCCCCTTCACTTTGTTCCATCCTTTCTTCTCTTGTGTCTTGTCCACGACCCCTTTTTACCCACGTTCCGATGCTGGGCCTCATCCTTTCGTGCTTGCCGACGCCTTAGGCCGTTTCATTAATCTCGCGTCTCTCGTTAGGTGCGAGCCATGGTGGTTACATCTCACTCAGGGTGAGCGCGTGTGATCCAGACACGCGAGAAATAAAAAAAGAAATAATCTTATATAGACTTGAGAAAGCAATATGAAAAAAAGGCTTAATTTTTCGAAAATCGCATTTTTTTATTACGCAATTTTAATATATATATATACTTGAAAAAAAGTGTGACAAACGCTTATCAAAAATGAGGAATATCAAATACTTTAATCTGTTTCTGATCGACATAAAACATATATTTGAATTTACAGCTTTGGATGTGTTCATTGACAAAGAAATTTTGTCATCATCAGAAGTTCATGAAAGGGCGAAGAAGAGATCAAAAATATATAGTAGACTTATCGGATTCATTGATCTTTCCATTGCGGTGGTTTGCTTGGAAGATGATTCCCAATGGGCCGGGAAACATTGTTGCCAAATAGTATATTTTGCTGACTGACGAGACATGTAACGACAGGCTAACCAACAATCACCCCCCTACAATATAGAGAGAAAGGGGAAATCCCGAAAAAAAGAGCTGCAAGAGACCTAACAAATATAACGCGTTATACAACGAGAGAGTGTTATTCGATTCGCACCCCTGACCCACGGGGGTTACTATACACTAGATTGTCATCCCTCACAAGAATAAACGTGTGTTGTTGGGAGAGCACGAGCCCGCACCTTTTGTCCAGAATCATGTTTCCTGTTATAGATGTTTTCGTCACGCGTCGCACTATATTTCCTCCCCCGCTCATGATTTGCAAGTTTCCATCAAAAACACCAATTAAATTGTAACTCCCTGTCATATATATTGTAATTGAGTGAAAAGTCACCTTTTTAAGAGAACAAAAATATATCAAAGGAAATTTCACAATTAAACAGAAATACTGAAAAAAAATTGAAAATTCGAATAAGTTTTATATTATTCAAAATCCAAAATTATTTTGAATTATAAAAACATTATTGTTTTTAAACACATTGTAATTTAATTTAAAACAAATTATGCATATGCTATTTTAGAATATTTGCCAATTTTCATAATCATAATGAATAAATTCTTAAATGAAGATTCAATATTGTCGTAAAAACTGATTAATTTTAATTGCAGTATAATCACCTGCTCAATATATGCATAAATGCCTAATTTCTCTTTCGCGCCGAAAATACGCAAACTCAATTTCACCCATGGGAAATTATCGTCACTTCGGGATTTGTATAAAAATAAATTCCAACGAATCGTATATACATACATATATATAGGTAAAATTGCGACAATTTTCAAATATAATTGAATATGTAAATTTTTTTTTATTCAAGACGATAAATAATATATATATGATATAATATTATAATATATACAGAACACGTTTCAAGACACCGAAGCCTGAAATTACGAAACATCAGTGTCTCACATTTATTTCCATCAAAAGTGCGCGCAACTGTTTATCGTCAAATTAATGTGCTGAGAAACGAGGTGGTATGAATATTGTAGACATGTGCAATTAAAGTTTCAAACAAGACAAAAAATGAATGTCTTGTTTATAAAAGAAGCGTCTCCAAATACTTTTTATATGAAAATCATAATTTAACGAATTCGTAATAGTGTCACAACACATAACAAGAAATAAAAACTAGTTATGAAAGATAAGCGGGTAATTATATTATGATTACATATTATCCATATAAGATACGGGTGAATATAATTGCCCACAGTATTTATATATATTTATACGTCGAGGAATGATAATTTTACGGGTGCGAAACTTGTCAAAAGACTTTATAGCGCGCGATTTTTTATACTCATTAAGCGCCACTGCTTCTACTGATGTGACAGAGGACTAAAAGAAATGAAATAAGTATAGACGCGAATAAGAAAAATAAAGGCGTAACTAAGGAAACGACAGGCAGATGTGAAAAAAATATGACTGCAGAGAGGCGAGCTGTCGGTATTTCTCCTCTCTAAGTTTACAGATCGCGTGAGTTTCGTATATATATATGTGTAAGTCGCTTGCATGAGCTCAACTCGTTACCGGTTTTGTCCCCGTAAATTAATTACATTTCCCATTTAATCTATTTTCACCAGTTACTGACACATAATTGCGCGAGAAAAGCAGAATATATAGAAAAAAAAACCAAAAACACTTTGCCTCATCTTTATTCCATTTTTCCAGACAACCCACACAGTTATAATTTATATAATTTTTTTTTTTCTTAAACGAAATAAATGTATATTCATTTGTACATAATATTAATTTAATGTATATCTTGTTTGTTTAGAAAAAAAAGTGTTTTTAAAACGACGACCACGATACATCAGGGCATATATATATATATACTTGTTTTATCTATTACTTTATC